GTTGTAAGTCAAGGACTATCTATAAAAGGTGGCCCAGGTTTATTCTAATTCAACCCTGAGAATATTTCAGCAGTTTGTGTGCTTCTATTAGCATATGTCAGGTCATCTCTCCTTAGCAAAACGATGGCAATCTCCTCCCTCTCCCTATGGCAGGTAAGAGAATTCGCTAAAGTAAACAGATTTCAATCTATTATAATAAACACATTAAATGACTTCCATAAAAACTATGACTAACAGCTTGCTCTGCTTTTAAAAATTGACTTTATATATAAGAGCACCTGCTTAACTGCAGAACAGATTTGTGAAGAACATATTATTGCCAAAATGGGTAAAACACATGGGCTAATCTTTCTAGCCCCTTCGAAAAAAGTCACACTCACAGTATGAAGCATTTTTAAAACTGTTATCTTAAGACGAAAGCTAGAATACCAGCCAATCAAGAAATTGTTAAGTGTATTCTAATTTAATAGTAATACTATATCAGATTCCAAATGCAACTCAAAAGGCTGTAAAAATTCAAATAATGACAGAGTTTCAAAATGGCTGGCAGCTGTTGTTATAAAAGATTTATAAACTCCTAACTATTTTTATATCTAGAAACATAACTCAGATTCTGAATCAGTGTTTCTTACATGTGCCAATTTTAAGCTGTATGGATTTCAACTCTTAGAAAGGAACATGCTGGTTGGGGAATTCTGGGAGTTGAAATCCATACATTTTAAAGTTGCCAAGCTTGGGACACACCACCCTAGCTATACAAAGTAAATTTTCAAAGGAAGAAGTCCATTACATAACAAGGAACGCTGAAACTCATTATACTGGATTTGCATTCCTAAGACATCTACTAATTCCAGACTGGAAATTACCAATGTATGAAAATTGTTGTACTGATGTATTGTTTATTATTAGAGGTTTTGCCAACCATTAATTCAATTAAGTTGAATACATTGCTTTTAGTCGTGCCTGAGAGTAGAGTTTAATTTAGATGTAACGCAGGTTCTGTAGAGAAACATAAGCAATTACTTGGGGTAAGAATGCTCTGTATTGACTTTATGAACCAGTGCTTTCATATATTAAAAGTAAGTCTGCCCAACTATTTTCCAAGCTTTGATAAATCAATGCCTTTTCTCATCTTCTGAGGAGTTAAGCACAATATCAAAATTTGCAACTTTGTTTCCCTTCCATTCCTGTTGATATTTATCCTAAACATTTCCATGGAGGAATGGAGCTGTGAGAAATTGTTTTGCTTCCATCTTTAGATCCGAGTTGTGTACGCATCATCTGAAGAGTTTCCTTCTGCACTTTGTAACTCCTCTTTCCTGATTCACAGCAGACTATCCTTTATTGTTATGTTCCTGCCCTTCAAATCCAGTTAGGAAGCTTGATTTAAAGAATAACTTTATATTGACCAATTCAATCAATTCCTACTGCACCTTTAGTAAGAATACAAGCCTACCTTAAAAGAAATGTTATAAGGATTTTGACACTCAGGATTTGTTTCTGAGTTTGGGCAAAACAGGAAACTGAAGTTAATTAGCTCAGGAAGGATTCAGGCATTGTATGCCAAACGGGGAATGGAAAGGGTCTGTATGAAAAGAAAGACAATGTGGAACTGGACAACTATAGCTAAGCAGGAAAGCATGCACTGAAAGAGCTGCCAAACTCAGCTAGGATTATCCCATTCACATGCTATGTCTCTCAACATGGCCCATGAAGATCAGAATTGGTTATATGGAAGACATAACCTAAGCTAAAATGCCCTCAAACATCACCAGTTTAGAGCAGGGGTCTCCAACCTTGGCAACTTTAAGACTTGTGGACTTCAACTCCCAGAAAGCTTTAGATTCAGTTCCAAAAGAAAACCTTGGGGTACATGTGGACACAACTGTAGCTTAAAGAAGTTGACTTTTTTCTCCCAAACCATGCAATTGCCTGCTGCTTGATCCTGAGAAAAAAGGACAGTTGTATTAAGAAGCTGCAAACAGATGTTGCATTAATATAGACTTCAAAGCTGCTTTTTTTGAAACTGAACCTGAAATCTCTGGACAGCCTTAATTCCTGCACAGTCTCAAATATTGCTATGTCTTTCTTCCCTTCCAAAAAATGCTGCTAAAATACAAGTTTCCTTAAGAGTATTATAGCCTTCCTCTTGTTTTCATCTTCAAAACTGAAAGAATACTTTAAAGAAATACTAAAAGCTAACCTTCCCGGATTCATAAATTTTATGCCAAATACTTCATATTTTTAGGAAATAATTATAGCCATTCCTGGCTCAACTTTGCAAAAGATTCTGTAATCAGTTCTTAAAGTTGTTATGCAAACAATGACAACTCTTGAGGAGTCACTGTGTTTATCATCTGTTTCCATTATTAAAGTAATTCTTTGTTTTTTTTCTTTATTATCTTACACAAGGAGAAGGACACATTTTTAAATATCTAGCTGATAAAAAATATGAACTGGATCTTGTGAATCGCCATTAAACCAACCATTCTGGCTTTGAGGTTTTGGAGCTATTGCCTCTGATGCTCTAGGAGCCACATGAAGCATATCTCCTGCAATCGGTTAATGATCAGGGATGCATTATTGAACAGGCAAATAAATTCCTGTCTAAAGCCTTGTGATTAAAGTGTTGTATATCTGGCCATGTTCCTTTCAGATTTTCCAGTTACAAAGAGCTCTTCTCACAGACCATGATTTTTAAAATAGCATTTCCAAGCTGAAGGAAGTATATTATTTTTCTTCATGTTAATTTTAAAGCAATATTTATATGTAATGTACAATACTGTGTGTGTATAGATGTATTAAGTGAGGCATCAAAACCTCTAAGTTTTCCAGTGATCTAGAGCAGGGTTTCCCAAACGCCCATGAGGTGATGCAGACAGAATCCAAGGAAAGAACAAGTGAAGAACCTTTTAGTTCTACATTGGTGCAATAAATCTACTTTTCCTAAAACACTAGCTTCAAGTGAATAGCATGATGTGGAAGACGCTCAAATTTTGTTTACTTTTTGCTTTTATTAAAAAATAAATTTTCATTGTATTGTTTATATTGTTCATTTGTGTTCATTTTGATGTTTGGGTTTTTAGGGGTGGTTTGTACATTAAGATGACACTAAAGAGAATGAGAAAAAAAGTTGCGAAACCTCTTAATTGAGACAAGCAGAAAAGAAGCTACAGGTGAAACTACTAGGCTGTCCAAGATTATCTCTATGATTTCTTATTTATACATTCAGTTTCTAAGACCACAACTTCTAGAAGATATTATCCTTAGACGTATTTCACATATCTTTTCAGTTCTTAAAATTCCTAACGTTTACTAGACATCAGCTTATTTTCTTGCTATGACTGAAGACGGAAACTACAATGAATCATTAGTCCAATCAAGTTGTGATTTAGGAGAGCAAAGGTGTTGAGACATACGTTGGGTATCCAACTCAGAAATTTTGGAGGTTTGTTCCAGACTGTTTCAGATCAGCCATAGTTTGCAGAAAACAGCTGAACCACTTTCCTTTCTCTGCATTTTGGCCTAAGCAAAATCTGAATGGGCAGGTAGACCAAGGCTTCTTCCTTCCCCCGGGGAATTGCCAGGACTGCATAATCAGCACCCATCTTCCCAACACCTTCCCTTTGTCAATCCACTGTCACCAACATCCCAGAGTGATAGAATGATATATCACGTCAGCCTGTCTGCCACCCTCCCCCCAGTAGCTTCTCTGTCTCTGAAGAGAATGTTTAAACCTTCTCCCTGAAACAAAACAGACACCAGAACAACTAGACACAAGAACAGTTTTTTCCCCAACGCCATCACTCTGCTAAACAAATAGTTCCCGCAACACTGTCAAACTATTTAGTAAGTCTGCACTACTATTAATCTTCTCATCATTCCCATCACCCATCTCCTCCCACTTATGACTGTATAACTGTAACCTTATTGCTGGTATCCTTAAGATTTATATTGACTGTTTCCCTATGACTATCATTAAGTGTTGTACTTCATGATTCTTGACGAATGTATCTTTTCTTTTATGTACACTGAGAGTATATGCACCAAGACAAATTCCTTGTGTGTCCAATCACACTTGGCCAATAAAGAATTCTATTCTATTCTATTCATTTTGTTCTAGGCACAGATCAAAAAGCACCCAAAACATCAAGTTTTGCCTTGCACATAGACTCTCTGAACCCAAGTATTTCCGACCATTCAAAAACCAAAATCCCTACTTTTTCTTAGCATTCTCACTTCTGAGAAATAACTGCAATTTATATTAGCAGGATAAACCTCTGTACTCCATCAAGTGCTTCAGGCAGAAAGGTGAGGCAGAAAACATTTGCTAAATGTTGAGTTATACACACAAAAGAAGAAGGAGAAAGCAATAGGGATTGTCCATGCAAACTATTTCTAAGAGCTTACCACAATACACAGCATTGTCAATCAAACTGTCCATCCACTCCACAAGTGCTGTGTCCAACAGGGTCCCCTGTGAAAACATCTACTTTGCATACTTTTGACGTTTAGGGAAACTGGTTTCCCTAAGCAGTTGACATATACAGAGTGAAACATCTGACAACTACAGGTGTGGTATTTCCCCTTGAGTCAACACACGTTCCACACAGAGAGGAAACCCTGCGTTCAAATTTATCACACTTCTAGGTAATCTTTCTCCTACTTAGAATCTACGTGGCATTTTTTTTTTTCTCAAAAGGCCTATTCGTTGATTTCAGCTGCAATCATAGGCGCAGCTTCTCCGAAAGGAAGAAAACCCCCCCCCCCTCAAACTGCCCGGGGAAAAGGCCTTCCTTTGGAATAAGGAAACCGCGCGCTCCCAGTTTGCAAAAGCCAAGGAAGGAAAAACGCCCAGCCAACCCTCCATTAACCAGGTGAGTATTTTTAGCAATTCCGAATCAACTCCAAGGCGTTGTTGGCAAGCCAGGCAGAGCTTAGGGCAGAAGCCCCCGCTCCCGGCAGCGGTCTCTCCCGGCTCTTCCCCGGCCGTCGGGTACCTGGTGCGTCTCCTCGCCGTGCTCCAAGTGAACGATCCCTTGGCTCCTGCCTTCCGTGTCGCTCAGCAGGTCATCCTCGGAGTCCTCGAAGACCGACGACGAGCCCGTGGAGGAGAGCGACGACGTCGAGAGCCGCCTGGAGGATTGCAGCAGGTGCAGCGAGCTGTCCGTGGTCAGCCAGGCACCGTTGGGCTCCGCGGGAGGCAGCATGGCAGGGCTGCGCTGCGCCTCTCCGCCGTCCTCCTCCGAAGTGACGGTCAGCTGCGGGATAACCGCTTGCAGCACCCCGTTGCGGGGACGGCAGCTCTTCCGGGCAGGCTCGGGCAGCTGCCGGCTGGCCATCGCGCAGCGAGCCTCGAAGAGCGAGCACAGCTCCCCCACGCTCAGCTGCCTCCTCCGGCCCAGCTCCGGGCTGCTCCCGTCCTGGGCTTCTCTGGGATCCATAAAGGAAGGCGAAGGCGCTAGCGATGCCGGCACCGCGAAGGGTGCAGGGGGCCGAGCCGCCCAGGCGGAGAGTCCGGGGCAGCGGAGCGCTTCGGCGATTGCTCCTCCTGGCACCTCGGCGCCGGGAAGCACGCGACTGAAGAGGGCTCGGGCTGCCGCTGCATGGCCGGCCTGCGCCCCGTCAGGCCGATCCCGCCGTCCTCTGACTCATCCCTGGGAAAGTGCCCGAGTTGCTTCACCGCCCCTCAGCCTGACCCATATGGGTAGATCGCTCGGCAGCCCCACGCTGCTCTCGGGCGGCGTACGCAACCGGGAGAAAGGAGGAGTCTGGAATGTGCGTAAAGGAGGGCCCGCCCGCCCCGCTCTCTCTCACTCCCTCACCCAGTCACTCCCTCACTCCCACACGGAGCCTTTGCTCTGTTTGTTTTGAGGTAGCGTCGCTTCTCCTCCCTCCCTTCTTCTTTTTTTTTTTTTTTTGGTTTCTCTTTCAACGAAACCTGGAAATGTCTCGGCAAATTCAGCCGGATAAATAAATAAAAAAAAAAAAAAAGGAGAAGCGCCACTCCGGCAAGCCGCAGACCTGCTTGCAAAGTTTCTCTCACTGCTTGGCCCCGCCTTCCCCTGGGCTCCTGGACGGTACAAAGTACGGCTGGTTTCCCTCGCGTGTTGCACGCCCTCGGCCCCGTCTCGCCAATGGCCTCCCTCGAGAGTCTGTGGAGATTCTCGGTCGCCCTGGTCGTGGTTGTCCCAAAGGTGTTTTTTTCCAGAGGCAACTGGACTTTCTTGTGTTTTTTTTTTCTTTGAAGACGTTTCGCTTCTCATCCAAGAAGCTTCTTCAGTTCTGACTGGATTGGTGGGGAATGGAAGGATTTCTTCACCAAAGGACTTTTTCTTGGAGATCTTCAGAACTAACTAACCCACAAAATCAACTCTGATTACAGGTATTGCCTTATGGGTGAAGTATACGATGGGACAGATAGACCAAATCAAATGCTGAATTATCTGTAGATAACTGGTGCAGCTTAGTTAAAGCTGCAACTAACCCAAACCTCTAAGACGTTTCACTTCTCTCTCTCTCTTTTTTTTTTTTTTTTTTGATTTTTATTATAACAAATAGTAATAATTTTTTTAGAGAGTCCTACTTGGAGGTTTGTCTGTGAACAAGCTCCACACACATTTGGACTATTAGGTGACCCTGAGGACACAGACAAACCTCCAAGTGGCCTCAATAACTCTCTAAAAAGAATGCTAATGACCAGCTGTCTGCAAGGAATATAAATCTTTCCATTCCCCACCATCCAGTCAGAGCTGAAGAAGCTTCTTGGATGAGAAGCCAAATGTCTTCAAAGGAAAAAATAAAGAAGTCCAGTTGCCTCTGGAAAAAGCACCTTTGGTCCTCCCACAAGGTGGTTTTACAAATGCCAGGAATGGAAAGAAACCCCTAAAATGCAGTTATAAGAAGCGAATGAGTCATAGTCATTATCCCTACGTGGTTCAAGTAGCCCGCCCTACCGTGGCACTATTTAAAACTTAGAGCTCTGTCTATTTCCGTGATGGCAAACCTATGGCACGCGTGCCAGAGGTGGCACACAGAGCCATATCGGTGGGCACGTGAGCTCAGCTCTGGTGTGCCTGTGCGCGCTGGCCAGCTGATTTTGGGGCCTTCTGGGCCCACTGGAAGTTGGGAAACAGGCTGTTTCTGGCCTCCGGAGGGCCTCCGGAGAGGTGGGGAAGGCCATTTTCACCCTCCTCAGGCTCCTAAAAAGCCTCTGGAGCCTGGGGAGGCCGAAAAACAGGCCTACCGGGCCCACGTGCCATCACGTGCCAAAAGTATGGGGAGCGTGGGGGGGTTGTGCGCATGTGCGGGGGAGCAGGGAGCATAGAATTATGGGTGTGGGCACACACGTGCACGTTCCACCCACCCCCGCACTCCCCCTGCTTTTGGGCACGCGATGGCAAAAAGATTAGCCATCACTGGTCTATTCCATCCTGGTGCTTTGCAGATAGTGCCAGATTTAACTCCCCAATTATCTTAGAAAAGCTGCCTTCACTGTGGATATGAATAAAATAATACCTTATTTTTTCAGTGCAGGTCATTAGTGTTGATCTTATTTTAATTAAATATACACTGCTCAAAAAAATAAAGGGAACACAAGCAGAAGACATCCGAGATCTGAATGAATGAAATAGCCTTATTAAATACGTTGTTCTTTACATTCAGTAGTTTTGTGTTCCCTTTAGTTGTTGGAGCAGTGTATAAACTACTGTATATAAAGAACAAAGTATTTAATAAGGCTATTTCATTCATTCAGATCTCGGATGTCTTCTGCTTGTGTTCCCTTTATTTTTTTGAGCAGTGTATATTCTGAGTACTAAAAGAATAATTTCATTTTCATTTGTTCTTTTCCTCCTCCCCAGTAGTGATGCTTTATTTTTAATTTGGCCAAAACTCTAAGAAGCCTTATAGGAAGAGGTTTATTGATGAAAGAGGAAAGTATATTAACTTGAGCAGAAATTCTATATAAAAAGGATTGCAATCAATAGCAAAAGGTTAAATACAATTATCATAAGCAGAAACTGGAGTCTGTTTATCCACCTTTCTCTCAACAACTCAGATTATCTAAAGCCTACAGTCTAGATAATATGTACAGGGCTTAATTTAATAAAATTAATTTAATAAAATGAGGCCATTCAATTTGAAACTAACCTTCAGGAATGCTAAACCTGAGCTGTCAAGCATAGGGCTGCCTCTACAAACAGACAGAGTAACTTTTGCCTTATCCCCCTCACTCCAGATTATTACAAAATTTGTAGGTCAGGACTTGACAACTGCAATCTACAAGTTCAATTTTTTCTCCTTCCAAAGGGTTTCCTATGGTTTCCAGCACAACTCATTTCCAACAACTATCATCACTACTTCCTAGTAATCAACATATTTCACACCTCCAAAGCAGAACAAAAAACCAATTATTTGCAATATTCCTCATACTTAACAACTACTGTACACCTGTTCTTTTCCCTTCCTCAGACACAAGCAGGAAGAATCATAGGTGGGTTAATATGTCCAAATACTCTAGTCTAACCCAAGCAACCAACTCAGTTAACAAGCACAAAGGGTATTAAATACAGTCCTAAATAGCCCTACTTTTCTTTGGGATTACAGTAACTATTCTGCAATCAGTTATGTAATCAAAAAAGGTTACTGTGGAATCACTGCATATTGGTGAGACTAGCTCCTAATAAGACTCTGAAAATAGTACATCTCTAGGCATCCTTTGTCCGTTGTCCTTGGTGCCTGTGAAGTTTCTTTGCTTTCCAAGGACATATCGCAGCATAGCAAATTTGTACACAATGATTTCTTGTAACCCACACCTTCCCCAACAACATGTCTATGGAGTTTCTTAGTCATCCAGGTCATGGTTGTCCCAAAGGTGCTTTTTCAAGAGGCAACTGGACTTTCTGGTTTTTCCTTTGAAGACTTTGAAGACTCTTCTCTTTCTTCAGAGCTGGCGAAGCTTCTTGGATGAGAAGCGAAACATCTTCAAAGAAAAACCAGAAAGTCCAGTTGTGTCTTGAAAAAGCACCTTTGGGTTCCCCAACAACAGGCTATTGCTCTGGGTCAAATCCACGGTGATTTGCAAGGTGATTTTGCCATGTAAATGTATCTTTTAATACTTGGTCCTTTATGTTTAGCCTTTTAATGCTCAGTTCAAACAAAAGACTCAAAGTCTATAAAATAGCATACAACCTTTGTCTTTTTCCAAATGTTGCTGTATTAGTTAAGATGATGTTTGTTTGTTTGTTTGTTTGTTTGTTTGTTTGTTTGTTTGTTTGTTTAATTTGATTTATATGCCGCCCTTCTCCGGAGACTCAGGGCGGCTTACAATGCGCTAAGCAATAGCCTTCATCCTTTTGTATGTTTATACAAAGTCAGCTTATTGCCCCCACAACTGGGTCCTCAATTTACCTACCTTAGAAAGGATGGAAGGCTGAGTCAACCTTGAGCCTGGCGAGATTCGAACCTGTAGTAATTGCAGACAGCTGGTCTTAATAACAGGGTGCTTTAGACCAGTGGTCCCCAACCCCCGGTCCGCGGACCGGTGCCGGGCCGTGGAGTACCTGGCACCGGGCCGCGCAGCGGCCGGGGGACATGAACGCTGCAGCGCAAAGGCTCCTGGGCCGTGCGCAATGGGCCGTGCGCAAAAGCTCCTGGGCCGTGCCCCCACCCCTGCGCGCGCTCAGCGGGCCGCGGCGATAAAAAGGTTGGGGACCACTGCTTTAGACCACTGTACTACCAAGGCTCTGGTTTCAGATGTGCTGCTTCAGCATGATTGTTCCTTTTCTACTTGCTGCCAAATTCCAGTCCAAGCTCCAGCAGGACTTCCAGCAGGATATGTTGCTCACCTTAGCTTGTGGCCCTGAATGATAGTCCACTTGCTTGTTAGCAATAGCTGCCGTTCTCCACACACTCTCTCCTTTTATCACGTTTTCTCCTACACCTGTTCCCAATGCTTTATAATTGCTTTTAAGTAAGCTAAGGGTTGAGTGGGATGAGGCTGCCTCTGGATGACTGCACATCCTTGAAAACACCAAAGTGTGGCTCAATTATCACAGGCAGCTGGAATGCCAGTTTGGATATTTGTGAGTAAAGTTGTGAGTGAATGTATGTATGAAAGAGGGAAGTGGGAGTGGGAAGTGTTTCTGCCTGGCTGCAGTAACTGTAGACAGTAACCTGAACTTTACTCTCTCACAGTGCCCAAAATGCAACTCAGCTTTACAATTATACGGTATCTGAAGTTCCCAATGGAAGATTACAAGTATACTTTTGAAATAACACTTTAGCAACTCTATGATTCAAAGAGACTAAGTGAGGCAATTCCTTATTTGATAGGACTAAGGGCAAAGGGAGGCAATTCCTTATTTGATAGGACTAAGGGCAAAGGGAGGCAATTCCTTATTTGATAGGAGTAGACAAAGAAAAGCTCGCATTATACATGTATCACATCCAAGCTTATCTCTTTAAACTTCACCTCTTTCATTTTGAGATCTCATCAACCCATCCAACCACAACCTCAAGAAATTTAAGAACCACTTTCTCCTTTCCATCTGATTCAGACAGTCTTCATTATCATCTGTCTGTCTATCATCTGTCTACCATCTGTGTCTATAGAGATTCTCAGTCATCCAGGTCATGGTTGTCCCAAAAGTGCTTAATAGTACATCTCTAGGCAATCTTTGTCCGTTGTCCTTGGTGCCTGTGAGGTTTCTTTGCTTTCCAAGGAATGGACACATTGCAGCATAGCAAATTTGTACACAATGATTTCTTGTAACCCACACCTTCCCCAACAACATGTCTATG